CCCCCCCCCCCCCCGAAAGAGACTGAACCTGAGTGTCACCACAGGGCATTCACACTGCTTTATGTCATGTTGTTAATGTCCACCCGGCCTTATAAATGGACCCGGCTTGAACTCGGCACGTCAGCCACAACAAGTGGTGGGACGATGTCATCAAATTGTCGCACCAGAAGATCCAGGGCAACTTACAGCTGTGAGAGTTTCTCTAAAGAAAAGACTGACAATCACATTTTCACTCTTGCCTCGCAACAAAAAGGTTATTTTTACCTGCTTCTCTGATATACAGTACAGCGGTTACCTTGACACTGACATCCGTTAACTAAGGTCCACACTGCAGGAAAGCAAAAGGTATGCTTCAATCTGAGAAATTATGACTGCTTGGAAACTGCATTAGCTGAGATACCCTACAGCTTAACTAGCAGACATGGCATGGAGAGCTTCTGTTGACTTAAAAATAAAACCAGTCCATCTCTTTACTTTCTCCAAACTTCACCTCTGCTGTATCTGTCCTTTCAAAACTTTTACCAATGCTTCTCATTTCTCCCAAACATCCTGCTGTTATTCAATAAACTCACAGAACAGGCTGTCCCAAGTTAATGCAGCCTCGCTCTCCTTGCCTCTTAAAAAGAAGATGTTCATTAGAGTAGAAGCGCTCGTGCCTCCACACCAGGGAACACTCAGCTATTCAAGTAGAGCTAAACCTCTGCACTTTCTCAGGCGAGACCTGGACAGCTTGACAGCGCGCAAGCCAAACAGGCAGCGGCTCCCCTCTGTGATTCATCCGGACTCGCATTACAAGGACACTGCAATTAATGCCCCGGCGTCTGAGTTCAACACCACGGCTTAAAACCTCCCACTCCTGGGCCTGGAAAATTCGATCAGACTAAAATCAAATATCAGGGCTGCAATAAAGAAGTACTCCAACCTGGATATCAGTGTCAACTATTCAAAATTTATGGATGATGTGTGCGTCAGACGATAGCATAAGTGGAGTCCATAAATTCTTGATTATGGCCATCTCGAAGAGCACAAGTACACTAATGCCATGGTCAGTTAATTTATGTTTCTATGTGTTTTGCAATGAATACATAATGTTGTTCACAAGTACTCCGTTTCCCTGGTAACACCTGCGCTTTTGACTAATAACGCCGAGTACTCTCAGATATAAACTTGACAACAGCAGCAGATATTTCTAGGCTGATACATTGGGCTCAGCCATTAGAAAGAAAGCTAAAGGTGTTTTCACACATTGCAGTCCTGAAAAAGTCTAAGAACCAAGCTGAAGTAGTGGAAGAAGCAACAAAGCCTGCTCCATGATGCTAAAATGAGAACTCTTGCTTTTATGTCAATGCTACCTGTAGTATGCCACGTTCACAATATTAATAAAAGAGCAGAGAAGAACAGCAAACATAAAGAAGAAGTTTTTTTGTTTTTTTTGTTTTTACGTGAATGGAAATTGTACTGGTCAAGTGCATCGAGTCAGCGGTCTTGCGCTGGTAGCGAGGTATAAACGAACTGTAGGATTCTGCACTCCCGCATTGGTTTTAACAGAACTACTTTTAGATTATTCATTTTATGTTCAGGAAATAATTTAAGCCTACGGCATGTCATGATGGAAAATGATGTCAGAGTCCAAGTGTATTGGTATTCCGCAAGCTAGTTCACTGGCATGGTCAATGGGACAATTCAATGGAGGCTGCCATCAATATTGTGACCAGTTACATCACTGCTTTGTCCTGCCGAGAGATAGGGCTTTTACAGTCGGGTGGGGCTCTTGTTGAGTCACTTAGGCCCTTTAACCAGCATTGTAGCATACTAGACCTATAAAAGGTGTAATTAGTAATATTTAATAAAGCTGCAGTTCTTGTAAACCTGCACCAACTGTTGTGAAAACAGCCTTATAACCTGCTGTCTGAAAACATTTGCTTATTTACACATTGAGCCATGACGGAGCCACCTCATTTTTTTATTCCCATTTCTATTATATGCAAGTCCAACTGCACATTTTAGCTCCCTTTTAAGTCCCCACCAAATCCTGCAAGAACTTATATTGGTTATAAAAAAAAACAAATTACATGACGCTAACTACAGTTTAAAAAACATGAATGAGCCATACAGTCAACAGGTGGTTTAAATGTTGCATTTCTTTTCTTTTTTTTTTTTTAATCAAAGAAAATGGATTTGCAGATGAGGAACAAACACTATCAACGCTTGATAAAGCTGGACTTGCTTGGCATCGTCTCAAGAGAGGGTTCACGAGGGTCGTCCATTAATCAGATTATCGGCGGTTCGATCCCCTTCTCCATCAAAATGCATAATGATACGATGGATACATGTCAAAGTGTCCTTGGGAAAGTCGCTTAACAGTGAAGTGCTCCTTGAAGGAACACAATGAATATAATTTTTAAAACTCTGTTTCTGCCTTGTGTTGTTAAATCGGCTGTCTGACACAACCCTGCAGCAAGGGAAACGGTTTCAAAAATAACCGGATAGAAAAAATTAACTCCATGCTGATGCTTTTGTAGGTCATAAAAAGCATTATTCATAATAATTTAAGTCTTTTTCAAACAGAACAAACGACTCACAGGAGCGTTTAGTAAGGTGTTAAATTAATTTGCAACATGAACTTTTTGGAAACCATCATCAGCGGCTAAAACTGGAATGAAAATTCATTTTAACAACCACCCTTCCAATTATCTGCCATCGGATGAGGCCAAACCCCACTAATGATGCCACTCGAATGGCCTCTACTCACATGAGCACTCTGGAAATTGCAGCAGCAGGCAAGTGTCAGAGGGTTTAATGAGGGCAGCACATCTACAAGCACCTTGACACGTAATGAAACGCTGATATTGCCATTTTTCTGCATTGTGGCATTTGTTCATTAGTATGTGACCACGGGAGGGGGGAAAAAAAAAAATCATTCAACTACAGCATGGCAATCAGGCCCCCCGAGTGAAAGAGATCAATAGCCTTGTCCATAGTGGGACACACAGGGTCCATATTAATTGATGTGGTCCAATCTTAACATATCAAGAGGTGTGTTGAAAACATACAGCTGGCTACCAAATGATCTATTTCAAAGGAGTTTGTCAATGAAAGGTAAGTGAAGTGTTGGTTCGACATGTTTGAACTTACATTTGAACTCACAACCCAAACCAATTTTGATCAATTCAAAGTTAACTTATCAACACAACTACTGCCTCTATTATTTCCAAGAACCAAAAAATGGATATAACAGAAGAAGTCCTCTGAAGAAACCAAGACCTGATCCAAAAGGAAAACCATATAAGAATGAAACCTGAGAGAAACTGTTAAAAGAAAATCTACAACTTGTCTGTGATTACTGCTGCCCAATCAAATATATAAAATCGGTTTAAACGTATGTGATGGTAAACTTACAACAACCTGATCTTCCTGTGCCTCCACACATACATCAGGTGAAACTTTTCCACCACTCTCGATGTCCTCTGCATTATCAGATTCAGGACACACCGTGCAAATGTTCCTGCTGGGCAATTATGTTTCCCACCATGTCCCAGGTTTTAATAACAGTTTACATTGGAGTCACTCTTATTTATGAGGCATCATCAAGAGATTTGAAGAAAGCATTGGTTGAGTCAAAATGCACAAAGGCCTGCTCTTGAATGCCTCTCAGCCACAGACGGACTGACCACAAAGCCTTTGAAGACAACTCTGGTAGGGCTGCTATTAAGTGCTCAACGTTGGGCTTAGAAATCACAGTGAAAGGGATTTACTGGTCACTGAAACATTTTGTTAAATTAATGCCCTTTGTCGTAACCTCATTGTTTCTTCAAACACGCCAAAGCTGGTCTTTAACAGCAGCTACTTTTACCCAAGTTTCAAAAAAAGGACTTCAGCAGCATAACAGCTTTGGTTGACTGCCACCTTACAAAGTTCCAGTTTATTAGGCCTGGAACACCTAGCTACAAGGCATGCAGTCAGTTCAATAAAACATCTCTGGAATAAACACGACCATCCTGTCGACTGTCATATAACGTAAAGTGTTTTAGCAAAGTATTGATTGAGTTCCGTGCTCCTTAAGGAGGCTGTAAGTTTATGGTGCTGTTGAACTGGACGGTGTTATACTGAGATTTATATTTATTTAAATCTGGAACAAATTGAGTGATATTAACTTTGAGTTTATCAAACATGAGAACATAAAGATTGGTGACTTTTGTTGCCTTTAAAATACATTGTGGATAGGGAATTAAAGTAATGGCACTTTGCTCATTGGTTTCTTCGATTGTTTTGACTCCACTAAGTTAAAGCAGCCTAAATGACAAAACAGCAAACTTATACATCCAAATGTAGTTTTATACAATTGAACAATTAGTCACCAAAGAAAAGAAATACAGCTAGAGAGACTTTAGCTGTATTAAGGAAGGATATCTTGTTAGTTCTCTCACTTTTAGAGTAATGAGCATGCCTTTATATGCCTGTCATTATGCATGTAGACAATTAAATGCATCTTCTTTAATTGGAGTTTGGCGTGGCACGTTCTGGGGTTGTTGTAGGGTTTGACACTCATATGAAGGGGCTTCAACATTTCAATGTTTCTCAAGTCTCAACATGATTTCTTGTCTTCTCCTGAGAGCAGTCCCAACCAGACTGTAGTCACATCGCGGCAGAAGCAGCGACTACACCGGCTTGGTTGACGTGTGCTTCAGCCGACATCAAAGCAAAACACACTCACGACTTGAAGAGCGTCTTTATGGGACAACTCCACAAAGTCTGCATGCAAACACTACTGACGTTTTACATTCACACCTGTCATTAATCCACAACTAAGACACCAACAGGGGAACAAGAGGAGTCGAGGATATTGCAATAAAGGTGGTCTGCAAGGGGGAACACACAAGGGGCCATATGTCTCATCTGGCCAATTAGCTAGCCTGCTAGCCAGCAGCAGTGGTCACAACAAAATTGCATTTGCTCTCCACTACACTGGCACACCAACGTTAGCTTCATTAGCTACTCACCCCCAGCAGGGTTCCACAAATGTCCAAAAATGTGAGTCCAAATCGCGCCGGTGGGGTTTGTCAAAGCGTGAAAAGCTCGTAAGTGTTGAATTTGCAACGAGTTCAGTCTCAGGACGAGCCTGTGGTGCTGCTGCGTTTTCACCTCGCACCGCTCACAGCACCATTAAAAGCTGCATTGTTGGAGCGACGGATGGACAAACGGCACCGACAGCACGCCGCAATGCGTTGTGGGAAATGGTGTTCATTAAGGCTGTGGCTTTTTTTTTTTGTAACACACAAAATATTAGGCGGAATGCTCCACCTAGTGGTCAATTTTGGTTTTATTTAGTGAAACTCAAAAAGAGATGCAGTCGTAATTAATTAATAATGGTTTAGATAAATGGTTTTCATGAGTATATATTTTATTTGCAAATAAAAAGTCATATTTATTTACAATTATTTACGATACGAACCAACAGGCATACAGCACAACTAAATATTATTCAAGGAATTGAGCAAAACATTAAAACACATAAAAAAAAGTTAAACTGTAAAAACAGTGACAAACATCAAACTTCACCATTTTTCAGGGATGATTAATTAGACTAGTTTTTATACATTACAATGTTTTATCGTATTTGTTTAAATATTCCATTTGCCGTTGTTTTAACTTAAGTTTGACTGTATCTACAAACACAGTAACTTAAAGGATGCAAGAACAATAATTTGTTCATGTCATTTTTTTTCCGTTTTCACTTCTGGTAAGCAAAGAAAACATTTTTCTCCATGTTTTGTCTCTTTTATTCGTGCAGTACTGTATCATTAATCATCTCTTTACGTTACTTTCAAGTGAACAAAGAAGTGCAACCAAAAACCTAAACAAGGCTCATGTTAACAGGAAACGTACAATAGAGCACAACCAATGTTTTGCTGATAAGTTTTGCTGGAAAAGAACAACAACCCTTCAAGATCTTCAACCAGTCCAGTTGCCTTTGGATCAAGCTTTGAATTGACCTTGATCTGGATGACTGAGAACCTGCACAGACAGAATACACACATTTTGCACAAACCCCAAAAGGCCCATACAATTTACACTGAAGTGAATAATTAGTAATGTGCATAACTTAAACATTTTGAACACTTAAAAATTTACCTTTGTTGTAAAAAGTTAGGTCTATAGTTGTGACCATAATTATTGAGAATAATTGTTGATGAAGGTAAAAAGTCTTCCTATAACTTGATGTGCACGTATTTTTTTCTTTTGAATTTTTCTATTTTAACTTTCTGTAGCTCGATCATCATAAAAAAAAAAAAAAAAGTTCAGAATAAGTCCATTGTTGGCTGTGATTTGTCTCTTACAACTCTATGGGTGGCAGTAGTGAGTCCATTGAAGCGCAAACATACATAAAGAAAGCCCTTGAAGAAGAGGTTTCAGCAGTCGCAGTGTGATGACGAACTGACTGGAAAATGGAGAGAAAACACATGTCAGCTTTTGCCTTGTATCAAACTATTTCTCCAGAAACGCCACCTCCTGCAAAGAAGCCTTCCCTGCAGGTAAACCTTTGATGAGAATAAGTGATAAACGCTGATTCAGAGCTGGTCCCTTTTGCTCTGTGATAAACGTGTCTGTCACACCTGCAGGACTGGGATCAGTGCTCAAAGCAGACACAGACCTCATGATGTGGAGTCAGATTACAACAATAATGTTAACTTCTCTTTATTTCTGAAGCCTTGACTGTGTAACAACTTGTGTTTCAATGGTTCGATGTTTCAGGTGGCACAAAAGAAGAAGAAGAGGAAGAAGGAGAACGGGGTCAGTAAGATCAACAAACCTCAGTTTAACCCTGAGGTGAAGAAAAAACGAAAGAAGCCCCTGAATGCACCTCAAAGAGAGGAGAGGTTTGAGGAACCCAAAGAGGTGAGTGTGTTAGATGGTATGGGGTATCATCTCTATTGTAGACATTGCTCTGCTCCTGAAGTAGTATTTCATTTGATGTTAAAATGATTGTCCTCCTCTGGGATGGTTCATGTGTGAGTGTTCATGCCTCAGTTGCAGCAGGAAGAGGAGGATTGTGTCAATGGAGACGGTGAGGATCTAAATGCTTTGCTGGCTGACATTTCAAAAATCAACAACAGCCGAGAGAGAGCGAGCAAGCTGTTCCAGTGGCTCATCAACCCCATCCCTGCTAAGACCTTCTTTAAGTAAGGACGAGTGTAATCACGGTGTTTATGTCTGTGACATCATGTGTGTTTAGTTAGAATAATGCCTGAACTCTGGAGCTCACGTACAGCGCTGTGTGGATTCATGTATAAAAATGTATTTATCCTTTAATGATAAAGAGCCTTTTTATCAGTGGTAACCTGATTTTTATCATTCCACTGTGCTGAAGTACAGAAGGCCTATGCAGACATGCATCAATACATTTTGTTTAAGTCTGTTTTATGTAATATCGAGCACATTTTGGTTGTTTCTCGAGATTTTTATTCTGTTATTCTCGTTAACTCGGGGTGACAACGCTGGTTTTCCTGTGATAATGACGGAGATCTCAAGACAACAGCGAGAAAGAAACCGTTATCATGAAAAATCAGCGTCGTTATCCTGAGGTGACACGATGAATAAGTCACTATCTTAAGAAAACAGCTGAAACGCTCTTGTGTCATGTCCCGCTTCCATGTGTTAATATTGTTTTAAGAGTTTATTTTCTGTTGATTATCGCCGTAATTCTTAGAATCGCCATTATTCTGGGATATGGGATATGAAACTGCATATTGTTCTGTCATCCCAAAATTAGAGAAATATATATAAATAAATAATAACTTTGCTTACTCACAAACCCTGTACAAAGTGTCGTCTTTTACTTGTATAATTCACCCACTAACATTTTCCTCTTTCTTAAGGGAAACCTGGGAAAAGAAGCCCATTCTGGTTCAACGTAAAAATCCACATTACTACAGGGGACTTTTCTCCACGGCGGAGTTTGACCGCATATTAAGACAGGTAAGGAGCTGACACAACACCAAACTGCAGCTATCTTACATGTATCTACAATCCCCTCCACATTGTTAGATTTCTTTAAAATGTATATACTGAAAAATGATCCCGACATCAGCATACAGCAGTTTAATTTGATTGATAAGACTTGAATCGTCTGAAATCTGAAACATGCTCAAGGGCCACTCTGACCCAACAACAGTGACCCTCTGGTCCCCAACCCAAGTCCCTACAGCCGAAGGAATTAGTCTCGTTGGGAACCAACTAGTGTCTCCTCCCCCATACATGCAAGTGCAGACTTTGTTGGCACTTTTGTTTTGTGCTGTGTCATAGGAAGAGTTAAACATCCTTATTTGGCTGAATGGCTGAAATGAATTAGTCATCTGTTCTTTTAAAATGTAATAATCAAGAGTGTTCCTTCAATCTGGTCTTATTTTCTCATTTCTATTAATTAAGATACATGGTAACAGATATTACTTTATTAGCAGCATCATGTTGTATGTCATTTGTACTTCTGTTTCCTCGTTATTCTTTTAATTCTTTAAAAACGACAAACCTGTCATTGGTTGTTTTTGTTCCTTTTTTTTGTATTTTGTAGTGTATTGCCTTATTTTCATTGGTAAGTAAAGGTTGAGTCGAGACAAAGATCTTCATACTGAACTAAACGTCTGCATTGTCTGATTGAAGGAGGACGTACAGTATGGAGTGAATCTGGATGTGACCAGCTACACAAACGGCAAGAGGGAGACGCACAATCCTCCAGGGAGAGCTCTGCCCTTCACTGTGTGGGATTTCTTTGAGGTAAAGCCACAGGATTCCTACACATTGTTTGTGTGTGTGTACCACATTATTATGGTATCTTTAACATTCCTTATACGTGGGCTCTTTGCTGGGACTCGGCTGAACCTGCTCCTTTTTTTTTTTTCCTGTGTGAGGGTCATTTAAGTTTATTCTCATTTCCAAACTTTCCGCACCGCCTTCATTAAAAAGCAGTTAGAAGTATGTGCCTGTGTCGCAAGCTAGGAGGCATTTTGTGTTAAGTGCACCATCTGCACTGATAGCAATCATCATCATCATCTTTGTGTCTCCATTTCCCAGAGTGGCTGCTCGCTCCGCATGCTGAACCCTCAGGCTTTCTCCTCCAATGTGTGGAACGTGCTCTCCATCCTTCAGGAGCAGTTTGGCAGCATGGCAGGAGCCAACGTGTACGTTTTAACATGGTTATTAGATTAAACAAAAAATCTTCTGAATTGATTATTTATTGAATCTGTGTCCTGTTCCTTTAACCAGATACTTGACACCACCTGGAACACAAGGCTTTGCTCCACATTATGACGACATCGAGGCGTTTGTAGTTCAGCTGGAGGGGAAGAAACACTGGAGAGTGTACAACCCGAGGTCAGTTGCAGTAATTAAACTTCACATATTATCCTCTTTTTAAATAAGTCTCAGAGGCCCCCAAAACATGTCTGTGCTGTTACTTGCCAAAATCCACTCTGATCCTGTATTTTAGCATGTCATACACCCCTTTATTCCAGCCCTGCTCAGAACAGGCTGTTTCTGTGTCTGTAGCTTTAAATGCAAATGAGCTGTGTCTGACCACGCCCCTCTAGAAGGGGAAGTGGCTTGGGCTTTCTCACTCCATGCCCTGTTGTTTAAGGTGAGAAGGCAGACTCAGAGGGCAGAACAAACACCTAGCTGTGGGAGTGTCACACATCTGGGGGAGGGGTTACTGCCCTTTGTGATGTCACAAAAGGAAAATCTCCAAACGGCCTGGAGTTTGTAGACAGAATAGGGACACATATTAGCTGTGGAAAAATGTGAAAAATTGCATTTTTGCATAATATGTCACCTTCAAACAGATTTTCAAACATGCAGAAAAAGATATCAAAATTGTATATTAATGGGGCACCGGTGGCCAAGTGGTCATTTCGTGCACCCCTTGTACAGAGGCTGTGTCCCTTGAAGTGGACACACTTAAAAAGTTCATATGAACACTTTGGATGAAACTGCAGGTCATGGGTACACATTTTTAGCAACTATCAGCTGATCAAGTTGTGGTTAAAGAACAAGTTCAAGCAGATATATATGTATATATATTTATAAGAGATTTTTTTATACTCTACATGTTTCCATTTATGGCTCATGGAACACCAGAGAATGTTTTCTATTACTTGTTTGATATAATGAGACATTTATACTGAGAAACAAACTCTGAAAGTTATTTTTTTCTGACTTCTTCTTAGGACAGAAGATGAGATCCTACCTGTGCTTTCAAGTCGTGAGTTAACATACAGCTTCTTTTTTGTAGTAAAAACTGTCTGTCTATTCAGTGGAATTAATTTCTGATAAACTTGCCTCTTTTATTTTTTATTTTTTTAAAGCAAACTTCAACCAGGCAGACATCGGAAAGCCGATCCTGGAGGTGGTGCTAGAGGCCGGGGATCTCCTCTACTTCCCCCGAGGGTTCATCCACCAGGGCGACTGCCTCCCAGACGCTCACTCCCTCCACATCACCGTCTCGTCCTACCAGAAGAACAGCTGGGGGGATCTGCTACAGAAGGTGATGCACTCATCACAATCCTACACGTGTAATAAAAGGCCTCATCGTGACGATTCATCAGCAGATTTCAGCCTCGTTAACTCTGATTGATAACGCATCATATACATACTCTGACATTTTATCATATAAAATGACAAATGACTCTTAATAGATAGAAAATTCCTTGTCCTCATAACACTTCCTGGTCCTTTAGTCCTGGATCCCTGGACAGACAGAAGTTTTTGGTCAGATGATGTGAATTCTCTTGATGGTGTGATATGTGGAAAAGTGTTCTGTGTTCTAAACTATTAAGTGCCTTGTAGACAAACAAGAGGATTGTAAAGTTAATTCTGTAGCTAACGGGCAGCCAGTGAAGGGAGGAAAGAAGGGATGTGCTCCCTCTATTTCTGACCTTGTCAAAACTCCTGCTGCTGCGTTGAGCACCAGCTGGAGACGAGATAAACGAGACTGTGTGATATAACAAAGTCTTAACGAGCTGCAGTATTGAAGGCGTGACCATGTGAAGGCATGGATGAGTTTCTCTTGGTCGGAAAA